CCAGACATCATGTCAATGGCAACAGAACGGTTGAACCTTTCCCAGAGGGAACACAGATGGCTGTATTTGGTAAGATATCAACTCGGAACGAAAATCCAAATTCTGAACAAAGCTTGCTGCCAACTTTTTTAGCTTTAGCAAGTGTCCTCCGGGCTTCAAAATCTGGGCTCTTCTAGATATTTACAAGTCGTTACAGCCAAGAAAACTCTTGAGTTCTTAGTAATTCCTGGGATTGGGAACACTTACTCTGTAGAATCTTGTGTACTTTTTTTTTCTTCTTCTTCTTCTCACTTTGACAGCACAAATACCAAACTGTGTATTTGCTATTTCTTTCGTCCACACTGTGAATTAACCTGCTAATTTGGAGTTTGATTTTTTTTTCTTTGCTAAGAGGAGTTTTTTTTTTCTCCTCTGGGAATATATAACTTTATCAAAGGCTAGGATTGAAATAGTTTGGAGTTGTTATTCCACAAAATCAACCTAATTGGATGATCTCTTTTTTTTTTCTCCATTAATCGGGCACATTCCTTAGAAAACATTCATTAAAAATGTCTCAAGCCGAGTAAAGTCCAGTTCTTGATTGCATACCTATAACACGATTACAAGGTTGAGCAGAAGGATTTTTCTTTTTCAAAACCTTTTGGTGAAAAAGCCCATGTCAGTCTGCATTTCCCACTTCCATAGCAGATGGCAAATAAACTTCCTTCAAAATATCTCTGCATCTGGCATGGTCTTTGCCTGCCTATAATTCCTCTCTCCCTCCCTGCTCTCCTCCCTCCCTGCTCTCCTCCCTCCCTCCCTCCCTCCCTCCTTCCTTCCTTCCTTCCTTCTGACAGTTTCCCCTTTGCCCTTGCCTCACTTCTTGTCTCCTCCCCTTCGCTTCTATGATGTTCCTGGACTATCTTAGGCATTACCACATCTTTCATCCAGAATTCCTGTTGGAAATGAAACCATCTTCCCTGGTTCATTTCCTTCAGCCTCTTGACAAGCGTGGCTCTCTCTCTTTCTCCTATTTCACACCTCTTCCAGCTTCCATTCTACTCTGGTCTTGCTAGTAATCTCCAGAAGGGCACACGTGCTTTGAGGCCTTGAAGTGGGTTTGCCCTGGAGGTTGGAATCAGAGCACCTTAGTCCCTAAATGCATACACTGGGATGGAACAGTCCCCTCCATCTCAGAGGTGGAGGAAGCTAGCAACCATGAAAACTGTGGAGCACGGCCATCTTTACCCAACTGCTCCAGTCAGCTCTCAAAGTTTTAGGATGGCACCAGCATCAATTAGAAATCATTTTCAGAAATTTAAATGGAGAAATTTGATTTTGCAGAATCCATAATGGATGCTAGTATGTGTGAATTGTGAACCTTCCTGTCTTGGCACCATCTGCCACCATGGGACAGCAAATGCCACACCTATCAATGTTCAAAGTTTTTGTTTTTTAATGATTTCTCAAAGTTTCTCCAATTTGACAACTCCACGTTAGAAGCTCACTTCCCCGCTGTGATATTTTGGATCTAGAATGTCCCACAAAAGCTGGTGTGTTGAAGGCTGGGTGTCCAGGTGGTGGTAATACACTGCACGGTGGGTAGAGCCCATGGGAAGGAAGGAATTGGGCCTACTTGGAAGGAAGGAAGGCCATTGGGGCCTTGTCTCCTTCTCACTCTCTGCTTTATCTCACCATGTGTCCCAGCCATAATGCTCTGCCTCTCCATAGGCCCCAAATGACAGGACCATGAAATACTGGGCTAAAACCTCTGAAATCATGAAGCAAAATGAGCTGACACAGTTTGACTTCAGAATTGGAAATGTCAGGGAATAAAGCTCTGGGTCAGGATTTTCTTCTCCTTTCTTTTAGGTCTCTAGTGCTAAAATTTCAAATCCAAGGACTTCATGATTTGACGCTAGGCAGAAATGGCCTCCTTCCTAGTCTCAGGTTTCTGATGAGAGGCTTCTGGTAAGCACTGGGCCTTTTCAACTCTGGGAGGCCATGGTGTCTGGCCAACATATGTAGTGTAAGGAGAATTCCCACGATCTAGCAGAATTTATACAGATCATAAAGTGAGCTGATTGACATCTAAAACTTCTTTCTTTAGAATTAAACTTCGGCTCTTCCAGATGCTTAAATTAAGGCACAATTTGTTTAAGTGCACACTACAGTAAATTCCAATTCATGTTTCTCAAATGGTTCTCCTTTCAGATTGCTGGTTTCCAGGAGGGAGTAGAAGGTTTTCAGGGAGGGTTCTGTCATTCTGGGTTGTTTAGAGCTGCACTGAAAAGCTCACACTAAGACGGCACTTGATACTTGGACACATATTGGGCACTTCATCCTGCCAGCACCTTGCAAGGCTGACAGGCTATGAAATATGAAACCCTCTTAGAGAGCTCAAGTGACTTATCCAGGGCCACTTGGCTAGGGGAGCCGGAGTTGGAGCCCAGGTCTAAGTTGGCCCAGAGTCACCATTCTTTTATGGCAGTTCCCGCTCTGCACCGGGGAAGGACCCTAATTGGGACTGGCAGATTCAGAAATGCTGTTCAATGGGTTCCACACACAAAAGCATGATTTTCAGCCAAGCCAATTTAGCAAATTGATTTGTAAACTCCTGTGCACTCTCAGAGTACTCTGAAGGACTCTTGAGCAGGTTTTGCTGGGAAAATGCTGGTTGGGCAACATCTTCCACGACTGTTTCCTCGACTTGGTTTTAGTCTGAAGGCTAATGGCCCACATCTACTCGACTGTGAGTTAACCAGAGCAATGGTGGCTCTTTTTTCACTTGTCTGAACTCGCTCTTCAGCCTCAGAGGTCTTTAATGTAGGCCTAAATAGTATCAGCAAGTACAGTTTCATTATTGCCTTGTTATTTGAATGGGCCTTCTTGAATGCTGTCTATATAGGAACTTTTAAGTTTAATCCACTCAGCAGGTGATCGCTGAGCTCTTAGGTTGGTGTGCACAATATGAGGACTGACAAGGGAAAGGATCAAGGTATAGTCCAGTGTGAAAAATGCACCAACGGGCTATTATATCAAGTGATCAGAGGATATATACACGGCTCCTTAAAAATGGCTTTCTGGCATACAATCCTTGCAGATTATTTTTAACTCAAGACATTTTTTTTCTCTAAGACTGTCTTTTGTAGTCCAGCATTGAGCTTTTTGTTCCAGGCCTTGTTTTTTCTGCCACCCGAGTTCTTGACTCCTTTGTTGCTTTTCCCATCAGCTGCACTGGGACAATGCTAATGAAGGCAGTGAGCCCTGTCCACCAGGCGCCCTACCCCCCTGGCTGCCCGGGTTGCCCCCTTTCAAGTCAGTGGGAGTCCTTTCCTCACACACTGCAGAAGTGGGACGGGACATTTTGCAATTACTGACTGTCTTTGTTCCTGGTCGCCTCAAATGCCTCGTGGCCAGCATCCCTTTAATCCGTCCTCACACCAGCCCTGTGAAGTGGGCATTATTATGTTCTTTTATAGGCAGAGAAACTGAGGCACCCAGAGATGAAAGAAATACGGTGGAGTAGCGGGAAGGCAGTCTTGGGCATGAGAACATCTTTTGCTGCCACGCTGTGCCTGTCTGTTTTAGGAAGCTTCTCTGCGGCTCCCGATATCTTAATGAAAATGACATCTGCTGGCAGTGGGCCGCTCTGACCTGCAGAGAGCCAGGCTGCGGCTTCCCACGCAGGGGCTGCTTCAGCCTGGAACTACTGTTGTATCAAGGAGAAGGGATCATTTAATGCTAAAGCAGACACCTACTGAGAAGAATAGAAAGTGAAGGGCAGGGGATTCCAGGATAAAGCTGAGGAACCTGTGGCCTCATTTACTTAAAATACTTAAAAAAAGTATAAAGTATAACTCTTGCACATAAGTTTATTGTCAGAACAGGACACATTTGACACTGAAAAGTGTGGCAAAGAAAACAAAGCCTTGAAATGATGAGGTATATACTTGAAGGATGTCAGGCAACCGACATCTGCTTATGAGGTGCTGAGGAATCCGAACTCAGGGCCTCATGCATGCGAGGCAAGCACTCTACCACTGAGCCACCTTCCCAGCCCCTGATCAATAATCATTGACTAAAGTAAAAATGAGGAAAAAATAGGAATGTGTGAAACCTATGAATAAAGGAGCGGTGAGCAATGGTGGGGCAGTTGACTCTGACTGCATCCACACTTGTGCCACCTTGGAAGACGTGTCAGATCAAAGGCTGATGCAGATGTATAAAACCTGGCTCCTGGCACTTCAAAGAGCAATGCGTGTGGTCTGAGCACACACTTGGAATCTTCATGTTGCAGTGTTATATGAGATAACAAACTCTCCATCAGCTCAGGTATTGAAGTGGTACAACAGCTATCCCTAATCCATGGGTAGTTGGGGCTAAATAGCTTTTAAGATCCTTTATTCTTGATTAATGGGATTTTTACCATGTTTCAGAATTTTAAATCTATTTTCTGTGTTTGTGAGAGAGGGGGGAAGAGAGAGAGAGAAACAGAGACAGAGAGACAGAGAGGAGAGAGAGAGCGAGAGAGTACATGCCAATACTGGGGCTTGAACTCAGGGCTTTGCACTCTCACTGGCTTTTTCAATCAAGGTTCTACTGCTTGAGCTGCAGCTCTACTTCCATTAAACCTGAATTTAAAAAGAAAAAGATTACTTCTGACTGAAATACTTTTATGCTGTTACTTAGAGACTCACCTCCAGGCTGTTTGGTGAGAAGTAAGGTGGGTGGGCAGAGTGTGAGCATTCAGAAATGGACACAAACAGCAGCACCCCAGCCCCTTGGAGTTGTCCTGGGTGATCTGACACCCATACCCGACCGTGTCTGAAAAACCCATGTTCTGGGTCAGGCTCTCCTGGAGCCCTTTGGCATGGGGCAGGAGGCAAGTGCCAGTCCAAAACAGCGGGGGGACACACTGATGGTCTTGTCATGTCTGCACAGATTGTTTCCAAGTAACCCAGGAAAAGGGCTGAGCACAGGGTAGGGGTGGGCAGTGGCCTATGGAGACCCAGGCACACACCCCACACTTGGGGACCCACCCCAGGCATGTACCCCACTTGCGGGGAAGGGCTCATCTCCAGGAGCAT